TTTTTTTCCCTCCACATTGTCATTAAAGAATATTGTTTCCTTGTTATACAAAGAGGCAGTTCCAGACGTTCTTGTACTAGGGGTGCTTGAAATTCCACACAATAAGATGAGAAGAATGTACTCCATCATAGCTAAAACAACAAAATTTGAAACCACCAGGACTCTTCGTACAGCAGGCTGCCTGACCAAGAACCTGATAGAGCTTTGTCAGAGGCTATGGAGAGAGAACCACCTTCTACAGAAGGTGTGAAGGTTCATCTTCTAACAGGACAATGACCCTAAGAACACAGCCAAGATAACATGAGTGGCTTTGTAACCACTCTATGAAGCTCCTTGAGTGTCCCAGCCAGAGCCCAGGCTTGAACCTGACTGAAAATGTCTGAAGGGATCTGAAAATGGTTGTGCACTGACAGTAGTGATCCAAATTCATTAAACTTGAGGGCAAGAATTAGAGAAACTACTCAAAAATACTACATCATTACACAAAAAGAGTAGTGAACAAAGGCTGTGAATATTTGTACTTCTCACATTTGTTTTTCTTATTTAATTTTTTTTTAATGCGATTTAATGCAGCCTTTTCTCACTTCATCATTATAGGGTATTGCTTAGAATGTTAAGGTGAAAATAACAAAATATTGAACTGAAGCACTGAATACTTTCCAGATGCACTCTGATTCTCTCCAAGTTGTTGTTGTCAACAGTATAGTAGTGTTGTACCCTGCACATTGGCTCATGTAGAGAGACGGGACTTCCTGTGTTCATTTCAGATGCCCCTGCAACTACCCTCACAGCATAGCTTTTTAATAAGTTTTATTAAAAGGGATTCACTCAAAGAAAGAGTTAGACCACTGTTTCAACCAAACCAAAAACAACCACAACCTAAAATATCCTGGGAAAAGAAAACAAGATACTTAACCAAGTTACAGGTTTACTTCTGCTGCCAGCACAGAACAGATACTCAGTAGGCACTCAACACCCAAAGCTGACCCACTCGCTGAGTCAGCAGTGCTTCACTGGCTTCTATAGTTCTGGGTAGCTGATTGCTGAATGAATACAGTAGTGCACTGGCTCCTCAGGAGAAATGGGTGGCAGCTGAGCTCCTTAAGAGACTGGGCACACCCACACAACACACTAAGCTGCTGGAGCTGTAACAAAGAGAAATGGGTAAAAAGCTGGACAGCCTTTCACTCGAGAGTAATAAAGTCCAACCACACGAAGATTTAAAGTACAGCAATATTAAGATAAAACCCATTATTCCAGCATTCTGTTTGAATCTATGTGTGACAAAGAGGAGAAAAAACATTTTTTCACATCAAGACTTTGGACAGTATGTTTTGCCATGTTGCTGCTTATTTTACCATTAGGAAGAAGACAAAAGACAAAAGTGAAACTGTATCAAGGAGAAAAAACACAAAACTAATATGTCAGCTCAATCACATGAACATTCATAATATCTACCTTTTCCGCTTTACAAGAACAGATGTGTGTTTGCCTCCTTAAATGTGTTTTGCATGATTTTTATGCCTCATTGCTTCTCAGAGTTTAAGTTCTTCTGTCACTGAGTGTCTGAACTGTTCATTCACTCACACTGAAAACGACATCAAAATGATGTTTTCTATAACTCAGATTGTGATGTTGGATTTTCTGACTCAGGGCGTGAGACTTCAAACATGAAAATTATATTGTTAGAACAATAAAATTGTCACGTTTTAACATCATATAGCTCTATATTTCTTTTGCCAAAGCCGTTCTAGATGATGAAGAATTTTGTTTAAGACTGAGTTTAGTGTTTTCCCATGTGATCAGTCTGAACCTGCTCATTGTGTGCAACCACCTGTTTGTAGAACAACCAAGCTAGTTAACGAAGAGACTTAGCTTCCCTTTAAAAAAACACCTGCAGAAACGGCTGCTCCAGTCGGAGCCTCCAGGAGACTGGGTTTTTTGTGAGTTTTTTTCCAAAGACTGTGGTGCTTCTCCCTGTTTAAAAGACTGGTACGGGTTTGATAAAGCATTTATATTTAATAAAGTATTGTGAAAAGGACCAAAGAAAAGTGATTTTTCTTAAGCTGTGATTTTATTTTGTGATTTAGACTTTTTTTACAGCACGGTTTTAAAGAACAACATGGATAATATTAGCTGGTCAAATTAGCATGCACATCAATAGAAAGTCAAATGTTTGCAGAAATATTGCAAGAAAAGAAACATGTAGCTTCATCAAACTATAAAAGACATCATATGCAGACAGGAAGTGTTGCTGAAGCTCTACTCTGAGCAGTGGTCAGGGTCCAGGGTTTGAGTGACGGGGCTCTGTCCACTCAGACTGGCCTCACAGCTCACTGAGCCCGCCTTCTTCCACTGGACTGCAGAGAGGCTCAGGGTGCTGCTCCAGCTGTAGCGGCCATCTGTCCCCAAGACCTCCAGGCTGGTTGAAACCCCTGAGGATGTGCTGGTGCTCCCCACCTTCCAGCCCAAATTCCAGTTTGAGGGGAAGCCCCCAGTGGCCAAACACACCACAGTGGCACTACTCTGTTTGTCTTCTTCTTTGGAGGGAGGGAGGACTGTGAGGGTGGGCCTCACCACACCCGCTGGAGGAGAAAAGGTTGAAGATAACCGAAAAATGAGATACAAACATGAAAACATAGGAATAAATATATTGTCAGTGATTATTTTTTTTATCAGGTGTTACAGTTAATAACTCGACCCTATCACCATTTACTGATTTAGAACTTTTTGTTCTTTTTTGACCACAAAGCTAAAGCACTCATGAGAATACAGTTAAAACTTCACATCTGTTTCTTTCACTTCCTTTAAACTTAATTTAAAATTGATCAACCATAAACAAAAAAAGATCTAAAATTATTTTTTTGCTAACAGAAGTTCACAAAACACTAATCAATATTTGTTTTTATTTTAAAATTCATAAGTAAAAATACATTTTAAATCAAAGTGAGCTAAATTAAAGTGAGCTAAAACACATTTTAGTATTGTAACCAGATAATATTTAAAGAAGCAAAAATAACCAAAAAGAACATTAAATTGTTTTTTTTAATTCACTTCTTTCACAGACTGAATGAATTTTGATTTAAGAAAAGTTTCTTCCAAAATTGTGACATCAACTTAATAACAATCACTGAATTTGATCACAGTTCTGTTTAGTAGATTTAAAAAAAAAAAAAGCTTAATAAATACTACATTTTTCAAAGTTACAAATTTCTGGTACTTACAGCCAACGATGAGTTTGGTTCCTCCACCAAAAGTCCACCACAGTGATACAAACTGATTAAGTGGCCGTACAAAAACCTCCTGCACTCTGAACAAACCTCTAACCACTGAAAATGAACCTTTTTTTTCATGTAAAACATCACAGTACACCTGATTAAATACAGATGATTTAACTAAAGTGACTTTAAGTTATTTAATGAATTTAAATCTTAATGATCATAATTGTATTTTTAGTTTTGAGAATCAACAGACAAAACTTAACTTTCACATTACACATATTTATTTAAAAACACACAGAAAACTGTTTTAACACAGCAACCAGAAAGGCTTCAAAAAATAATGTATTATGAGACTATGACAATATAATTAACAAATATA